GTTTGTCAACCTTATTGTATAAACAAAATCCTCTAACACTAACGATACTATTAATTTTAGACATGCATAAATCATGTTGTCCTGAAACTGTTCATTTCCCTCCTCACACTTTCACCCTTATTCTATAATAAAAAACCATTGTATCTTATGGTTATAACTGTGTTATAAGTTATAACAGTGTAAAGTGATACCCTTTGTGTCCTGTGGATGAGGTAAGATATGACTATATCAGTTTTAGTTATAAATGACTATAGAAGAGTGATCCACCTAATTTTAAGTAGATGCTGCATAGACACTTGGCATCTATCCTTGATTAAGAATTTCTCTCTCCAGTTCTAATGAAATGATACATAGTAATTTTAAGCTGTAACTTGACACTTGTGTTCTGTGAGAAAGTAGTCCTCTAGTCAAGCAGAAATATTCATATTGTAACCATAATATAGCTAGTGTGGCTCTACCATATTAAATTTTTGTTAATGTGGATCTCACTTTTTTCAATCTATTTACTCCAAGCTTTAAAAATGTAAATAACTACATCTGTTAAAGCCTAAATATGAACAAGTTTAACTTAAGCTATGATAGCTTAGGATTTAAGCATAACTTCTGTGTTCTAAAGGTTTGAAAAATTTGACGTGGTAAATTATGTGTGGTAAATTATACATGTTAGAGCCACATTGTAGCTATATCATATATATATTGTAAATTGAGTGGGTTGGCTCAACCGGCGTATGACTATGCTCTCACAGAATGCCAGTGTAAAATAGCAGCTTAATGCTGCTGTGTTTTATGTGGTGAGTGTAAAAAACTGTAGACCCTTTATACTGGAAACAAGGCATTCCAACTTAGTCCTTAGGCGTGACAACTCATCTGTCTTTTGATTCTCAATTGAATGTAAATGTAGATGTCTATGGGCCAAAGCATTAACTTACCATCAGGTGGACTGTGTGCTCGTTTGTCGACATTATTCTAGAAAAAATCCTCTAGCACCCATGATAATATTAATTTTAGACATGCATAAATCATGTTGACCTGAAACTGTTCATTTCCCTGTGGGAGCTAGTATCAATTTCTTAAATACTTATTATATTTTACTCAGGTTTTTATGTTTAACCCTAGAAAGATAATCATATTGAGTTATACGTAAAAGATAATCATACGTAAAAATTGACTCCTTAGTTTTAAGTGGCTGTTAAATGAAGAGTTTTTTACTGATTCGAGTAAAACAAAAAGTATTAGTTGTCTACTACCGTAGGTAATCAATTAAAAATACTAACATTTACTTATTTGTATTTATTCATTTTATAACAAAAATTACAAACTTCTCAATAATCAACAAAATTTAGGAACTTCTTTTTTCTTTTAAAGCTTTTTCATAATCTTATCATAAATCAGTATTTTTATATTATATTCTAAGTAATAAAAAACCAAAGTCAAAAAATAACATGAAAATTGTATAAAAAAATCAGTCAAAACAGTTTAGGCACATATCAACCTGTTATTTGCCGACACTATAAGTGACAAATAACAGATTTACATTTTTTACATATGGCATTTGCTTTTCTCTTTATTTTAGAGGGGCAATATTTACAGCAGCCACGTTTTTTGGCTATTGGCTCAGTTTTATCCTCTTCTTGGCCACTTATTTGTAACAAATTATTTTTAATAGTGATAGATCACGACTCATCACGGAGACATATAATGTTGCAGAAGATCGGTCGAAAAACTCACCTGTTGTTGTCTTTTCTCATTGCAGTCATTACCAAGATACCGATCAAAGCACGGATTTCATTCTCACTTGTGTCTTTGAATGTAGCACTAGTCATAGTTTCCCGTCTTATGAAGGATATTTCAGCATTGGTCCGTCTTACGATTTCAGAAATTATTTTATCAGTAAAGAAGATGTTGAAGCACAAAACAGAGTCATAAGGATTGCGGCACATGCGTTTTAGACCCCTTTGAGACCTGAAGATATTCTGTGCTGAGACTCCACCACTTCTTGAAGACTGAGGTCGACCAGCAATGTCTATTCTTACCTCTGTTAGTTCTTCGTGACAGAGTTATTATTCGACGAGAATCCGTTGAGGGAGTTGCTTGTTCAGAATTTTCTTCCTCCATGGGGTAAATTTAGAAAGGAGTTACTACTTCTTCTTCCCTCACTTCGTCCACAAAACCATCTTCCTCATTGCACTGGATGTCATCCTCGCTCTCGTGGTCTTCAACTTCTCTGTCGGTGTCAACACAGGGCGGCTCCTCATCACTATCTAAAACAGCAGCCAGGATGTCGTCTTCATCCAAATCTCTAGTCCCCATTTTGGCTTAGCAGTATCACGATAGCTAAAAAATAAAAACAATATCAGAAATAAATAAAAATAACGAATACAATAAAAAACAACACGAATAATCATTTCACCAAATATCGTAAAAGTCACGTAAAAGACAATCATACGTAATTTTGACTCCTGTGACTATCGTATCTCAAAATGGCGGGCACTTACCTCAATGACGCGGTTGCCCCACGCTAGGTCCCAGCGGTGAATGAGATGTCTGAAAAGCAAGACGCCGGATTCGCAATAATTAAAAAGAGGCGGCATTATTTCGTTCGCGTGGGAGTCATTTTGACGTAGATTATCTTTCTAGGGTTAACATCAAATTCTGAAACAACAAATCAGTAAATTTGGGTTTAGGAGTTAGGACCAATTAGTACTAAATATTATTTTTGGAGATGTGTATATCCTGGTGACAGAGGCTCATTGATTTATCTTAACTCACTGGTATAAGTGAAATTCTGAATTATATTTAACCAAAAGTTATCAACTAAATTTCCAGTGTATTTGTGTGAGAATTAAGATTATAAGTTAACTAACTAAATCGCAGACCATATCAATAGGTATAGTGACATATGCTAGCCCACACATCTTGTCCAACTAAATCGTCCAACTAATTAATTGGACACCGATCGTATCAGAATCAAGATTCCCTTCCGATTACGCACAACAAAAAAGTTGTCCAACTATCGGCCAACTGCTTGTTAGCACGGTTACCTTATGCAAGCTCGCGGACTATCCAACTTTGTTGGTTAGTCGCACGGCAAGATGCAAGACGAACCGTTGCGCGCGTATGATTTCCCTACGCTCGGATTTAGACCTTCGCCGACGGGTTCCACATCAGCCCCCCGATTTTTTTAATTTTTTTTATTTATTTATTCTTAATTGTAACACCTTACAAATAAGGTAACAATGGGCGTACTAAATGATTCTCGGCATTCTCTGCCAGTCAACCCGTAGTGTGGTGAGCTATTATGGCAGGTGTAAAATCGCTTTATAATCTTTGGATTTTTTATATAGGTACCACTGTATGACAATTCAATCTGTGTTACTGCCAAACACATCATTTGATATCAGTCAACCTAGTACTTCACAATTTCCAAGAGCTTCCAGGCGCATTAACTTCCGTTCATATTATCTCTGATCAATTTATCCAGCTAAACCATACTCACTCAGTCCGTTCCACACGACAAACAAATTTAACACAGTATGTAACAGAATCACATCAGCAGTCTATCACAGGGCCACAGGATAAAATACCATCTAATCTGCAAGTTTCAAGTCCATCTCCAGAAAGTCAAACACCGCCCCCTCCACATGATCATGATGGTATTATTTCATACTGGTCAAATTTCTCAGAGACGGAATCAGAACTAAATGAATTATAAAAATGTAACAGATTTTTGCACTAAACTGTCTCAAATTTGATTATAGGTGTAGAAAACCAATAAAAAAATGAGTTTTATTAACCTAACAGAACTTAACGGAGAGTTAATTCAAGCCTCTCTTCAACGGTGATAGCAAGTCGTAAAGTTGTATCCCGTTTGACTATCGCTAGCCCGATTAGATATACGAGCCCATCAAAAGACGAAATTCTCATTCTGTAGAATGAAAAAAATATATCTGGGTAACATCCGAGTTTAGACTGCAAGATATGATGTTTCCCATATTCTAATCTGTCACTTTAGAATGCACCCAAAATGTTCTCTTTTATTTTCGTCTCCTTTTTATTATTATAGCAAATTTTTTGTACGTGGTAGAGCCACGCTGCAGCTATATTATGGTTGTAGCACGAATGGGTCGGCTCGACCGGGGAAGGACCCTCACAGTATACCAGTGTAAAATAGCAGCTAAATGCTGCTGTTTTACGTATGGTGAGTGTAGAGATCCGGAGGCCCTTTTTACTGGAATGGAGGCATTCTATCTTAGTCCTTACGGGTGACAACGCATCTGTATTTTGATTCGTAATCGAGGATAAATGTAGATGTCTATGGGCCAGAGCAACCACTTACCATCAGGTGGATTGTGTGCTCGTTTGTAACCCTATCCTTTAAAACATTAGAGAGTTTTTCCCGCATTATCACGCACATGCACCGCGCTGGCAACACTGACAAGGACTAAATACATTAAGTCTGCGGCTAGCAACCAATAAAAAAAGTTGATCGATTAAATTATAAAAGTACGCAATTTAGTCGTTCGATAGTTGGCCAACTTACAATTGTATGTCTGCGAGAGCTCTAATATAATATGTACTGCTCCACTTTTATTAATGATGATTTATTGATAACATTCAACTGTTGTGTTTTGTGGCCCATAAATTTTAGTGAATTATGTAGCTTGCATTATGGTATAATAACACAAGAACAAAGTAAGTTTAAATGCAGTGTCAGTCACATTCACCACACAAATAAACTGATCTAGCAATTTGTGACTTAGCACATATTATGATGGCTCCTTCTGAGATTTAAATCCAGGAGCTGCGGTGTACTATCAATGTCAATAAGTTATGTAACAATATATATTTTTAGGTTTGAAGCGGAGATCTCAGGGTCGGAGTTGGCAGCAGGGCCACGGGCCATCATCAGCGCCAGTACATTCGGAGCGGCTCAGCAGCGCTTAGAACGAGTGCCCCCACCACCACCACCGCCTTCTTTGTTGCCACCTTTTGATCCAAGTATGATGGGGGCACGGTTAATGTATCCTGGTGTACCGCCTCCACCGCCGCCACCTTCATTGATGGTTCCTGCCTCGGTATAAAGTGCATTAGCTTTATATTTATGATTTGCAAACTTGAATTTTAGTGTATGGGGTATGAAACATACATATATACAGGGTTATTTTGCATTAACCAGCCAAATTTGCAGAGAAGGTTCAGAATTAGTAGTATAGGCAAATGGTGAAGAAAAATTAAAAAATAAATTAAACATTCTGATCTTTTAATCTTTTAAATTCAAAATGTGTGGCAATGCATTATTTTAACTGATTTTACTGCGCACACTTTCGTAAGGGTCGATATGTAGGCAAAAACATTGTTTTGACAATTACACAATTTGGAATAATAATTTTAAATAAATCTAGAAGCCTTATTTACTCGTATTTTCAAAAACTCCAATAAGGTTATATCATTATTTATATAGTTGAACTTAAGTTTAAAATTTAGCTACTCTTTGAAAAATAACCCTGTATACCACGAGGGGGTAGACATTGCAAAGACCAGCAAGCTACTCGGCTGATATTTAGCCAAAAAGGAATATATGTATAGATGGAAACTATGAAAAAATTAGTTGGTAGCTACCCTATCGCTTATCCAATTACCAATCCAATATCCCATTAATCGCCTTTTATGACATGGTAGGCAAGTAACACTGTTGGCACATTATTTTTTTATGTATCCATAAGTCCCATATTGGTGTGAAACAATTTCTTCAAATACCAACCTCATTTATACATTGTGCACCCTGGTAGTTAATGAACAAGAACCCATGAAAATGTCCAACTAAAAATCTATAGACTGGTAATAATATTACCTTTTTAGTGTGGTAAGTAATAAACATATTATTCTTGAAAAGACCTTTACCAAAAACTGTATTCAATAGGATGTTTAAGAAAAGAAGAGTTTCAAAGGTCACCCGTTATCAAGTTAATTTTTTAAATATAAGTCAGTATTTAATATTGAAGATACAATTTCAGGTTCAAAGAATGAGGCCTCCCGGTCCCTCAGAACCTTTCCAAGCTCCGATGCCTTTCCTCCGTCCAGGATTGCCAGGACCACAGCTTATACCACCACCACCTCCAAAGCCGCAGCCAGTAGTGCTCTCAGCTGCCCCAAAATTGTACAAAAAACCCAAAGAAGATGAAGAAAAGAAAGAGAAGCAGGAAAGCAAAAAGAGGGTGAGTTTATGTTTTTTGCTAGATTTATTTATTTATACTTCCATGCACAAAGTTGTACATATGGTGCACTTAATATGGCTATAGCGCATTCTCTCCTAGTAAACCATTAGGCTAAACAGAGATAGACATATAAGAGGCAGTGCAGTAATTATTAAAATAGAAAGGGATGACAAGAAATCGTAATTATGATTGAGGATTAATAAGGCTACTAATGTATGCGTTGTCACTCCTGAGGACTAAGATGAATGCTGTACAGCCTGTTTATACAGCAGCAGGTGCACGGCTGTTTGGTAGCAGAAGTTGATAAGAGGGTGGACCTAAGCGGGCGGACTCATCAGCAGAAAGTATACTATGCAGTAAATTAAAAGAAAAATAATAGAAAACACTGGCGATTAACAATATGTTTGAAGAAGAACTTAATGATTTCTTAAATTTACGCGAACACTACACATTAACTTATTTTTTTTTATCCCCGACTTTTCGGTTGCTTTCCAACACCCATGGTCACGTGGTGGGCGACTCAGATGTTTGACGTCCCAATTTCATATTTAGCTCGGCTAGCTTCAGTTTTTTAATATAAACTATTAATAATATAAATAATATTTGTAATGTTCGACATACAAGGTGCAATCTAGTTAATAGTCCTACAAGGTGGGGTGTGACATAACCTGTAAAATATTCATGTTGTTTCATTATCCTGTACCTTTTTTATGTTATATTTTATTATAATTGTTTTAGATGTATGCTGAACAGCAAGATATAAGAAAATTTGTACTAGCTAAATTATTTATTGATAAAATATTAACAAAATCTGTCAACTTCTGATACCTTAAATTAACCTGGGATCACTACCTTCTTAATAACTTTTTAACAAAATCAGTTTTAATATTTGTTTGATATGAACAGTGATGTCATTGACATTTGTAAATAGTAACAATTTTGAAAGAAACAAAAAAAAACAATTTATTTATTTTTGAATAAGGGTTACAAGCGAGCACACAGTCCTACTGATGGTAAGTGGATGCTGTGGCCCATAGACACCTACATTTATTCTCGGTTAAGAATTAAAACGCAGATTCGTTGTCACCCGTGAGGTGAGGACTAAGATGGAATGCCTCGTTTCCAGTAAAAAAAGGATCTCCAGATCTCTACACTCACCATACGAAACACAGCAGTATTAAGCTCATTAAATTTGAACCTGTCATAAGCATGTAGGGCATTATTTCGACAGAAGCGGGAGCGCGAGCCGTCGCCCGCGCTGGAGGCGGAGGGCGCGGCGGAGGCGGCGCCGTCCCCACAGCCCCCGCCGCCGCCCGCCCCCGCGCCCGCGCCGCCCGCTCCGCCCGACGCCGCGCCCAAGCTCAAGAAGGAGAAGAAGCACAGAAAGGTTCACTTTTGTTTTTATTTATTTTTAAACCACTCCAAAATAAAGAAATGAAACGCCGAGCGTCGGCATTTCTACATAAAATGTCATATAACTCAAAAAGTGTGGTAATTTGAAAAAAAGTTTGGAACAAAAGTTGTGGAAAATAAACTGATCTTTAAAAATGAAATAATGCATTTTATTGATTAATCTAATATTTCAAGAGTTATTGGCAGTGATAGAAAAACCGTTCATTAAATAGGCCATAAATCTTAAATGAAATTTTATTCTCTACAATAATGATATCGTATAACTTTTGCCTTAAAGTGCATAGTTTCCAAGATATAGGCTGAAAATGTTATTTCAAGATGGCGCTTGAAGCGCCATCTGGATCTGTCAGCATTTTGTGATTTTATACTCAGTAAGTGATCCTAAACAGTATAAAAAAAAATTGGATCGAAAATTTAGTGCAAAATTGACCAAAAAAAAGGCTATTTTTACTTTACTGTATATTTTTATTTTTAGGAATATTGGACGAGTTCTTTTGTAATTTTTATGTCAAAAATGTAATAGAAAATTCGATAACTTTCAGGTTATAAGAACTGCGGGTGGTCAAGTGTGGGAGGATGTGACACTTTTGGATTGGCCTGACGATGATTTCAGAATGTTTTGTGGAGATTTGGGCAATGACGTCACAGATGAGCTACTAGTAAGTTATAGGATTTTAATTTCAATTTCAATACTCAATTATACTTAAGTTTTTTTCATAATAACATATATTGTATTTACTTACAGACCAGAACATTTAGTAAATACAGTTCATTCCAAAGAGCAAAAGTAATTAGAGACAAACGAACAAACAAAAGCAAAGGTTTCGGATTTGTCAGCTTTAAAGATCCAGGCGATTTCATTAAAGCTATGAAAGAAATGGATGGTGAGTCCCAATTTAACACTATTTGTCATTAGCCTGAGAAAAGTATACTGATGGGATGAAAGAAACACTTAATTTTAGTACAGATCAATTGACTTATCACAATATATTAATTTATTACAAAAAACCACCACAGTATTCTAATTTAGTAAATTTGGCTATATATGTCGAAGGCATGCCAAAAAAGGTCATTGCTCAGCATGAGTTATGGCGACACCATAACGCTGATTTTCAGTAATGACCAAAAAACCCAGTGGATTATGTAGAGAAATTTTAAACAGAAGGGAAAAAAATCAAGCATTCTTTACTCGGAGCTGTATCCACTGAGCCAGGAATGTGTGACCATTAGGCATGTTCATAGTTCATACATTCATCCTATTAAATATTAAAATTAAGTTTAAGTGTAAAGTTTAGAAAAAGAGAAATATGAGTACAAAGAGCAACCAGAGAAAAAAACAAATGACAAACTAAAGATTTTTACAATTAATAGTGAATCAAGTTTTTGGTGTCCTCCCTACAAAGGGAGAGGTGTATGTCCATTTGTAGACTTTCACAAGCCCACGAAGAAGTAGAAGAATTAAAAACTATTTCTTCTCTGTCATCTTATATCAGTCCACAGAAGAAAAATTAAAATAACAAATGAATAATAGCTTACTCATAAAAAATTAACGTGCGTGACCATTTGTGATAAATAACGTTGCCTTTGCCGTTTCTAGACTGTTCATATTTGCCCGTGCATTTACCCGTGCTTACTGTTCATATTTGCTAACACGCGCTCTACTCTAAGGGAATAACAGTGTTGTCATTTGTTTTCTATTGACCCTTTAGTCTTCATTCCATTAGTTATGGCATTATGAAATTTACGTGTATACTGGCTGGCGTAATCGCCACCCAGTATACTATATATATATATATATATATATATATATATATATATATATATATATATATATATATATATACACTCACCGGCACGGAAACTTGGCCACTCGTGAATTTGCTGATTATTTGCACTGAAACGTTTTTTTAACAGTAAATTAAGGGTAGATGCATTCAATAAGTGTCTCTAATGGTTTTAGAACATAGAAATTTAATGTTTACTTCACCGAAATTTTTCTTTTCAAGATAACATGTTTTCACTAAAATTAACATCTTTCCATTGTCACTTTAAAAACACTACAAAGTTAAAAATTAAGTCTGTTTCTTTATTGTCTATCAGTTTTAATATCGGGTGTTTCCTCCTCTAGCCCTGATAACCGCTTGCATTCGATCTGGCATGCTTTGAATGATGTTTCTGACATCAACTTGCGGTATGCTGTCCCAAGCGGCCAGCGCTGCATTTCGGAGCTCATTTAGAGTTTGTGGCGGTTTGGAGCTGGACTTTATCTTTCTTTTGAGCATACCCCATACATGCTCAATTGGATTTAAGTCCAGGCTATGAGCTGGCCACTGTAATTTTTGTATTCCAACCTCTTCCAGATATTCCTCTACACAATGTGCGACGTGCGGGCGTGCATTATCGTGCATGAGGAGGAATTGGTCGTGTCCAATGAATCCCGAATAAGGCATTACGTGCTCCTGAAGAACTTCCTTGATGTATCGAGTAGCTGTAAGCCGATTATCGACGATGACCAACTCTGTACGTGCGTCGGAACTTACACCTCCCCATACCATTATTGAGCCTCCATGGAAACTCACAGTTTGGGTGGTGGTAATGGGTAGAAACCTCTCTCCTCTTTTTCTCCACACTCGTTCTCGACCGTCTGGAGCACGTAAAGCTATTCGACACTCATCTGTGAACAACACTCTAGCCCATTGCTCGTGGGTCCAATTGACATGTTCTCTTGCGAACTGAAGTCGGGCTACTCGGTGCTGTCTGAGAAGTTCTGGACCTCGTGCTGGTCTACGAGCTTTTAAATTCACTTCCTCTATTCGTCTTCTCACCGTACGCTCACTAACATTAACGCCTCTTGCGATTTGGAGCCGCTGGCGTATCTCAACAGCGGTCAGGTAGCGGTTTCTCAAAATCTCCATAACAATAAAACGATCGTCCCGGGCCGATGTGCACCTTACGCCCCCACTGCCTGGCCTGCGGGTGTAGCGGCCTGTCTCCTGGTATCGTTTCAGTGAATACTGCATTGAGGACCGTGGTACGTTAAGCACAATAGCAACTTCACGCTGTGTCAGCCCTTGGTCAATTAATACTACTGCTTGTGCAACTTGTGCTGGTGTTAATGGCATTTTTATTGGCTTTAAAGCACCTTTAGTTATTTAATTAAGACACAAGATCACAATAATTGAATGACCTTACAGTAAACTTTTCACAACACACAAATTTAAAATGTGAACTTAGTCGCTCAAATGACCCGATTCAACTAAAAATTAAAGAATTCGTCATGGTGCACTTAAACATAATGAATTACCCTCTTGAACTTGAGGGTAAACATTTTTTGACATACTTGCATAACAAACATTCATCAGAAACACTTAAAGCTTTTGCTATCGCGAGATAACCGCTTGGCCAAGTTTCCGTGCCGGTGAGTATATATATATATATATATATATATATATATATATATATATATTTCACACTTTATAGCGCAGCAGTTAATGCAATGATATACCTCTGTTGAAATAATAAAATAAACAATAATATAAAAAATAAAAAAGTGCATTTTCCAAACAAAATAAATAGCTTAAAATATTACACAAAATAAATTGGATAATATGAGTTTATTGACCTGAAGTGACCTGTAAAAACGGCAACGGCGCAGCGATACCTACACTTGCCCATTCATAGGGAATTAGGCACGCGTAGGACGATGCTAATGCGATGTTATCAACAAATCATAAACTTTATGATATTGTTTTTATCCAAATAATCACTCTAATCTTGTAATCACTAATGTTTAATAAATACATCAAGTCAAATTTAATAATTAAATGTTATGTAATTCTAGAGCCGCGTTTTGGTGGCATTCTCCGTAAATCAATATCATGTCGGTTTATTCCGACGACGTGAAATTGATACGAGGTATCTTAAAACTCAGAAAAAGTTAAAACGTTAAAAAAGTAAATGTCACACCACTTCACTAAGTTATTAAATATGGTTTTTATCTAGCGTGTTATAAACGTGTCCCATCACAAATAAAATACAAAACAGTAAAAGTAAGCGTCCAATTTCCCATAAACTGTCACCACCTTATCACAACTATTATTATCCTATTAACGTGTCCTGTCATAAACAAATCAAGAAACTTATCAAAAGGTACACAAAACAACAATTAAAACTCAATGAACGCGTACGCGAAAATTAGGTCAAGTGGCCCGTGAACCATTATCAAGGATATACGGCGTCGGACTAGTGACTTAATTATCGTCGCACGCGCTAGTGAAATACGAACTTCGACCACAGGCATCCTCCCGCCACCTCGTCCCGTTTATCAATTCGCGCATAGAGAATTATGCCTTTGGTCGTCTATTATAAGTAAATTTTTCGCTTGAATTTGATTTCACACACCTACAGTGCGCAGTCCCTTTGTTTTTAATGTCGCGCATAAGAATTAAATCTTAAGTACATTTTTTGCTTGATCCTTTTTCTTTATTTGAGTGATTCGGATTGGCAACGTTTGAACTATAATTCGCCTTTGCCGGCCATGGGTCTTTGACCTTTTAGTATTCGTCAGGTGATAAATATACCTGACATATGCATTTACATGATGTTGTTTAATATTAAATCGAAAAAAAATTATTACTGGGACTAGGATGTTAATTTTTAGTTATGTATATAAAGAACGTTATTTAGGATACGTCTTTTCATTTAATGTGATATCTTCATCGTCTCTGTATATTCATAACAAAAAAATATTGTATTGACTTTTTTCTTAACTTTTCGCCTTGCTATCTCAATATTGTTAAAATTTAGTCTTCCTAGTACTAGTAATGTTGTTGAATAAACATTTAGTCAATTAACTAGAAAAAGGAGTTCTTGCAGAACACCATTTGCCAATTCCTCATTTACCTCTGATATGTAACAAGTATATAAACAAAATGTTTGATTTTTCTCATTCAATTCGACATAATATCCTTGTTTCATAGGACGGTACGTTGGGAGCAGACCTATTAAACTCAGGAAGAGTACATGGAAGAACAGAGCTCTCGACGTAGTGAGGAAGAAGGAGAAAGAGAAGGCTGCATTACTGTCTCTACTTATGTCAGGAAACAAGAGCTGACAGCAGAGTTAAACATGCTATGTGCTAAAATATTCAAAAGTGGAAAATTAAATTTTGACTATAATAACAGTGTCCTGTTTTACTTTACGTTAACTTCTTGTCATATAATTCGTTAGGCATTGTATTTCCCCAAAATGTTATTCTATTCTTTATTAAACGAATTATTTAACTTTTCAAAATGTTTTCAAACGTCTGTATTTATGCAACTTTTTCACTCATGTTCAGATATTGGATCCTATGAATCCAACCATCAGACAAATGTTTCCGTTTATGACACAAAATCCACATCCATAATTTGCATTTTAAATTTCAAATTGAATTCAAGATATCGAACTTCATCTAGGTAGTATTGCAAAGCAGGCATTTCATGTAAGGATACATTTATCGAATTTTATCAATTTATGGACCTGTAATGTGTATGGAATGAGTGGAATGTCGGACTATAGCTGTCATGTTTTTTCTATTTTAGCATAACACATACATATTCAAGTATATTAATTAGTATTTACGGCAGCAGGATTGATCAGTAGCATCATAACTCCGTCTAGAGGTGGGATGTGTTAAGTGAAATGCATACTAAATCTTGTACAGTATACATACGAGGGGCGTTCAATGTATTCGCGGTATGGGTGTGTTAGAAAAAAGATAAAATTATAAAATATTTTTTTATTTTCAATGTCAACCATGATATCACTACATTTACTTGTTCATGAAAAAAGCTTTTCTATGCCCTTGAAAAAATATTCTATAGAAAAAATAGTCTTGGCCTGAAAAATGCTCATTTATAGCGAACTTATAAGCTCAAGTCCACTGTAAAGATAAAGATAAATAGTCTATAGATATAATATAATATGATCTTAGTACAAAAACATATAGTTTAGGCTCAACAGCTTACCCATTTCGGATATGCAAAAAAAAATTAAAAATTTACTACTTACTAACATTAATTTTATTAAAAAAACTCATTGAGATTGTAAAAAACATTTTCAATTAACAATTTCTTTAATTTTGTTTTGAACATATTTCCATTTAATTGTTTAATAGCTCGTGGTATAACTGATTGTATACACGAAAATCAGTAATATAGGTACTTTTATAGTAAATCATATTTTTAATATTAGATAAGCTTATATCATATTTATATTGATTGCAAATGTTTTTATTTGAATCAGATTTCAAATTAAAATATTGCATATTGTTATTAACACGTAATTCTAGGATAAAAATTCCAGTCAGTGTTAGGAAACCCTTTGTTCTGAAAACATCTCTTAATGATTCGGTACTATGCATGTTATATATTGTTCTAAGACATTTTCTGGAGGAATGTGGATTGTATATCTGTAGAGTTTCCCCAGTATACGATACCGTAAGCTAGAAATAGATAAACGCTTCCAAAATAGGCATTTCTAGTAACACTTATATTTGTAGTCTCTGCCAGGATGGACAATGCGTAACGTGCACTGGATATGGATGTAAATGAGCATCTTTATTGTCAGCAAATCGCTTTTCCCGAAGGTCTTTTTTAAGTTTGGGAATAAAAAGTAGTCACTAGGAGGTAGATCTGGGCTGTATGGTGGGTTGTTAATTTTCTTAAACCCGCAGTTTCGTACCATTGGAGAGCCGCGCCGTGTGAACCGGTTGTCATGAAGTAACAGCACTCCCTTGGCCAGCTTTCCTCGTCTTTTCTTTTATTGTTTCTCTCAAACGGCACAAACAGCATAAAGTTCTCTCAAACGGGCATAAAAATAATTATCCTGAGTATTTGTTTGCGTTGATGGTTTCACCTTTTTTGTGTAATCAATCAATAGTATTCCTTTGGAATCCCAAAACAATGTGGCCATGACTTGACCGGCCGTGTGAGAGTGCCTTTGAACTTCTTGGAGGGAGCAGGGGGGGGGGGTCTAATTCCACTTTTATGCCATTGCATAGACATCTGTTTACTCTCAGGGTCATAGTGGTTTGGGTTTTTCCTTGTTTAGTGAGGAATTTAATCACGGTTTACCGAACTTAGATTTATTTCAACATAGTCGAGTCATTCACGTCGTCTATGACCATAAAAAGTAATGAAGTTATCAAGACAAAATTTCATATTTAAACCTAGTTTAGTTTAGTTTTCGACGGGCTGTTTTCCGGAACTCCACGTCTAAGCGCGTATTTTGTGTGTGAGTGGGAATAATGTGGTTATTCGAGCCATGATATTTCCCCGAAGAAGTTCAACAGTCCTTTGATGTTGTATGCAACTACGGGGAGCGATCCCGGCGTACCGAGATGTTTAGCCTATGAAGCGACTTCTGGACATGTCAGCAACACGTGAGCCGCCGTTTCTTCCTCTCCCATGCATGCCCTGCACAGGGGGCTATCAGTAACACCTATGGTGAACAAATGTTTGTTAAAAGAGCCATGTCCTGTGATAGCACTTGTTACTATCCTGATTTGTGGCTTGTTCAGTCTCATTAGAACCTTGTTTAGGCGACTGTTTATTTCAGTCAGGGCCTCCCTAGCTTGTCTACAGTCTGCTAAATTTTTCCAAAGCTGAGCGTGTGAATTATTGAAGTATCTACGTACCAGTGAACGAATGTAGCCAAAGGGGATTTGTATTATAGGTTCCGGCTCTATAGTTGCCAGCGCCGATCCCCTTCTGGCCAGTTCATCTGCTGCATCGTTGCCTCTAGATCCACCGTGTCCCTTGATCCATTGCAGAGTCACATTGTTGTGCTTACATACCTCATTCAATCGTTGATGGCACTCATATATCAGTCCCGAGTTCGTCACATTGCAACTTAGAGCTTGTAGTACCGCCATACTATCGGTCAGTATTCTGATGGAGAAGTCTTTCACCTTCCTAGCATCTATTGCTATGGCCGCTTTGATGATACCCATGCATTCAGCCTGAAAGACTGTGTTATGGGTACCCAGCGGTGTGCATATGTGGATATTAAGGTCTTCAGAGAAAGCCCCAGACCCCCAGACACCTTCATTTGTCTTAAAACCTAGTGTAGTTCGCTAATGATTTTTTTTAAATTACCGACATTATTAGCAAATCACTCTAAGGGCGCTTTTAGTGTCACGCGGATTTGCTCACGCACGCGGGATTGGACCGCATGCGTAAAATTTCACGCTGCGGATCATACGCAGCATGAGTTTCAGTTTTCTACGGGCTGCGTAACGGTATAGACGTGTTCAAAAATGATCAATGTCAGAAGAATATGTGTCGCTTACATACTTTACAAACGACGAAACAAGAAGACAAGAGTACATGTTGATCCCTTTCTTGAAAATAGGCTTCTTGCTGGGGCGTTTGTTACACGCTTTGGAAAACTACAAAATAATGAACGTAAATTTAAAAATTACTTTCGAATGTCCATTCGTTCTTTTGATGAACTGTTGTGTAAAATTGAGAATAAGCTACAAAAAAAGCAGTTTACGAAGGATTACAATACAACCGATTGAGAGGCTCGCTATTACATTAAGGTAAGTTTTAAATTTTAAATATTTAATTTCCTGCTATGATTTAGTGGAAAGGGATTTGAACAGGTAGGATAAACGTTTTTTGACTTCAAATTACTGTCATGTGTAAATTTACATGTGCAAAAAAAAAATTTTGTCATGTACTCTGAAATTTCATTGTTCATAATTTCATTCAATTTCATGTTGAAATTTCATTAAATAAGATTATTTCACTCATAAAATGTCGCCATTAAAGTGGAATCATTCCTACCTTTCATCACACGCTACTTATTATAATATAGATAAAAGTTATAGGTTTGCACATGACAGTAATTTAAAGTCAAAAAAAGTCCTTAATTGGTTTGGGATTGGTACGTTCAACCTACATACACAATCCTTTTTTTTATCTGATAAAGTACACATGGCCACAGATCAAGTTACCCAAAACCAGCATAAATGGAACTCGCGCCTTGCGTATTATCATACTTAGGTAACCCGTCGGAGTCCCGCTTATACTGGATTTGAGTAACTTGATCTGTGCCGTGTGTACAACCGCACTCATATGACTAAACAAACAATTAGAGAGAAACTGGAGAAAAAAAGTTAATCGTACTCATTTTAATAAAAAGAGTTTTATTCATAAATTAAAAAATCAAATTTTACATCATTCATTTCTTTGTAAATTTGTATCCTGAGCGTTGACATTACTTTCGCCTGTAGATGATGTTGTTGCTGGGGTATAAATTACGTCATAAGACGTGATATTAAACAGGCCGCTTTCAGTCGAAATAAGAGTTTCATTGTCATTCACTGCAGCAGAACTAATAGCATTGTCGTTAAGACTCGAAGTATCCTGGATTATACTATTGGTTTGGTAATCTTGATTTATCGGTGACAAACTGTCAAGCTCAGTAAAAGCACTAGAACTTGTTGTAGGTATGGGACTGTAGTATGCAGGTTGTGTTTGACTTTCCATTTCCATAACTATATTTAACACTTTTGTTCTGAACATTAGTTTTTGATATCTAGTGAATCTTTTTAATGAAGGCTGCAGAGACTGAAAGAAAGCCAAATCCTCACTTTCTAGCTCCAGTTGATTAGACTTTAAGCATTCTAATAACTGTGCCTCAAATTCAGATGGTGCTTGCTTTTTAGATTTTACTTGTTTTTGTTTTGATGTTGGGTGAGAACTTTCTTGACGTGAAGTATCTGGTTGCGTGGACTCATTAGGTGTTTCTAAATTACTTTGTTCAGACATTTCTTCACAGAGTGACTCTTCTCCAGCAGTTTCCGTTGTACTGTCTAAGAAAGTCAAAATGTCATAGTAAGAATATTTCTTCTTCTTCTTCTTACTCCCAGAGCCGGATGGCTGATTTTTTTCAGATATCTTGTCTTTCTGGTAAGTGTCCCTTGCTGTTCGCCAGCGTTGTTGTATTTTCTTGTCTGAAATGACAAAATATAATAAGTAAGTGGCAAAAGTACACACAGTTTCAGATCAAGTTACACAAAACCAGTACCAATAAACGGAACTTGCTAGGGCCTCGCCGGGCGCC